CTGAATCGTTTTATCCTCTTACACAGTAAACGTGTAGAATCCATAACATTCAAATGCAACGTATTTGAAACTTAAGATTTTCCGCATATTTAGTAAACAAATCGATTCGACGAGTAGAAAATAATGTCTCTTTTGCTCCCCCTTGCATCGATTCGCGTGCTGTATAATTAATCAGTGCTGTCGTCGCGGAATTCATTTTATTATTTATACGGTAAACGTTTGCACGCCTCCATATGAGAATACAGACGATAAACAACCGTTTTGAAAAAAGATCCCAGTCGGTTGATCTCCGTGACGATGTTCAGTTGTCCACTGCTCGAATTCGAAACGGTAAAAGGAATGATTACCGTTGAAAGTTGCGAGTCGATCACCCGTGTTCGCGATACCCGTAATAATTATTTACCGGGCCTCGTGATTCATTAGGTTTCGTTGTTTATTATTTGCAACGCGAACGGAAGTACATATCGATTTATTACGGGTATAAATCTACATTAGAACGCACACCTACGTAGCGATGATTAATTGTTGTCGACCGCGCGCGCGTTCGCGCTACCATTACTCATTGAGAAACGTGTTAATCCCCTATAATACAGCGCCGAGAATATTTTCCCCCGTCTTCGTCGCAGCACCGTTCTCCAGTCGTTCCACTAACTCACGCGCTCCATGGCTCTGCAGCGTCCTGAAAGTGGAATAGTGTGTACGGTCGCAGTTGTTAAATGGTAATTTCATTTGGCGCACCGTGGGATTTATGCGGTTGTTCTTCACTCGCTGTTAGTTCATCAAGGCCCGCGCGACTTCGCCCCGGGCGTTGAATTTATGGAATTCAGCCGTCCGAATATGATTTAGGGCGCGACGATTCGAGACACACAGCCAGTCGCCTTTATTACTCTCCATGTACCTTTCTGAACCGTATTAACATGATATTTTTCTTTGTTTTTGTTCGCCAAAGGAAATGTATAATTTATTAGTAATTAAGAATGTCGATGTTTTGTATTTGTTGAGGCTTGCATCGTTGAAGTCGGTGCATGATATGATTATTCCCCTTCTGACAACACAAATTAGCCACACCTGCTCGGATGACCCAGAAACTAATCACTCGTAGTCGTATGTACTTATATTATGGATCGATTAGTCGATAGGAACACACACCGAACGTGTAATCAGCGATATTTGTGATAAATGAGATTGTGTATGCAACAGTTTTTATTCAACAGTTTGGATACAACGTTCTGTATTCAATAGTCTGCATTCAAACATCCTGTATTCAACATTCTGTATACGACACTTTGTAGTATTCAATATTTTGTAGTACACAACATTCTGTATAGTATTCAACATTCTATAGTATACACTATTCAGTATAGTATTCAATATTTTATATTCAACATTCTGTAGTATACACCATTCTGTATAGTATTCAACATTTTATAGTATACACCATTCTGTATAGTATTCAACATTTTATAGTATACACCATTCAGTATAATATTCAACATTCTATAGTATACACCGTTCTGTATAGTATTCAATATTCTATATTCAACATTCTGTGGTATACACCATTCTGTATAGTATTCAACATTCTGTAGTATATAACATTCTATAGTATACACTATTATTCTGTATAGTATTCAATATTCTATATTTAACATTCTGTATTATACACCATTCTGTATAGTACTCAACATTCTGTGGTTTACACCATCCTGTATAGTATTCAACATTCTATAGTATACACTATTATTGTGTATAGTATTCAATATTCTATATTCAACATTCTGTATTATACACCATTCTGTATAGTACTCAACATTCTGTAGTATACACCATTCTGTATAATGTTGAACATTCTATAGTATACACTATTCTGTATATTATTCAATATTCTATATTCAACATTCTGTGGTATACACCATTCTGTATAATATTCAACATTCTGTAGTATACACCATTCTATATAGTATTCAACATTCTGTAGTATACACTATTATTCTTTATAGTATTCAGTATTCTATATTTAACATTCTGTAGTATACACCATTCTGTATAGTATTCAACATTCTGTAGTATACACCATTTTATATAGTATTCAACATTCTGTAGTATACACCATTCTATATAGTATTCAACATTCTGTAGTATACACCATTCTGTATAGTATTCAACATTCTGTAGTATACAATATCATGTATAATGTCGAATGTTGAAGAATGTATATACATATAGGAATAGATGGTGAATCGAGTGCTTGTGAGAAAGACATGAACGTAGCCCTCTACTGGCCAGTACAAGAAGTATCGCCCTATATTCTTAACATTTACTTACTTGAAACCTATCTTTGAATAACTTTGGCCGCTAGAAGTAATTGGATTTATTTATTTGCAAGTTGTGTGTCCACTAAAAAAAATCGATAATTAGAAGAACAAAGGTGAGCTTAAAGTTTGAAACTTGAGAAATGCTTCTGCCTGAAACAAAGTTATGCCTATCATACACGTCTGCACGCTAGTGTTTTAAGGTTGATTTAATATACAAGTCTGCAAAGTTTGCAAAGGGGTAGAATATTAAAAAAAAATATATTAAAACGAAGAAGAAAAAGAAAGCTAAAAGCAAGAAACGTGGTAATTTTGGCGAGGTGGCATATATTGGATAGAGGAAGGAAAAAGAAGGTGTACAATATGCGTAGGTGGAAGGCACTTCACAGATGTTAAAGGTTGAAGGCATGGAGAAATTATTGATAAGAACAAGGTGAAAATTGAGGGAATAAATTGGAAAGGTGGGAGCGGATAGCAGGCAGGGCATGAATAGATTGAAGGGGATGAGTTAGCAAAAAAGGAAGGGTGAATGTGATTAAGAATTGAAGAGGAGTAATGTAAGGTTAGATAAGATTAGAGTAGAATTAGGTGAAATTTGCAACGAAGAATAGAGTGTCAGATAGAGTTAAATGTACTTCACTATAACGGACCTGAAACCGATAGGTCGTGATAAATAGTGAGATAAAATGAACATTCTGCAATTTATTACTAGCTTAAGCATAACATTAAAATATCACAGTAATTTTAAATGTTTCTTTACTTAAAATAATTAGATATTAAACAATCCGTTATATTTTCATTTTTCTTGCCTCGAAATCCATCTTGCATATATTTTAAGTTTAACTCGAATAATGGAACGAACCAATGCTTACACTTTTCTACAGACCTACAATAAATTCATTAACGCTTTCAAACTGATTTATTTAATTCATGCAACTTCTATCATATCATTTTGGAAATCTGAATTTCGTTAATAAATGTTATAACGCTATTCTACCAAGGTAAACATTTCTAGAAAACCATTCTAATAATCCCAAAAGTACATGAGTCCTCGTTTTAATATTACTCGAACCAACCATCCCTTTATTTATCAAACAACCCTCTATTTCCCGTTCCCCTATTGTCCCAATCTGAATTTTACAGCCGAACGATTTGTATACGGAGCAAATTTCAGAGATTATTCGCCGCGTGGGTGAAACTCGTGTCGTCTCGCGTTGACCATTTCCGGCATCTTCCGGGTAAACGCGTACGTGGATTCTGAGTAGCTCGCTGAATCGTTTTGTCATCCGTCGAAAGCGAAGGGAAACGAACGTTATGGCTGTCATCCCGGCATTGTGTCTCCGCGTGGCAGTAATTGCGCCGGCATAATGCACGCGTTGGCCCGGTAGTCGCGCGTAACTGGACTGTCTGTTTCGATTATGAATAAAACATGCACTTATAAAACGCGAGCGAGCATTACGCTCGATATAACCGAAAGGATACAACGCTTCGGGCCGCGACATTTGAATAATGAATTTGCCTCGGACGGGCAGTTTTCGGTGGATTTTCGAAGCGTCACAGCCGATTTTCCCGTGGGAACGATAAACACCAGAGTGGCCTTAATACAATGAAAATGGGGCGGATTTTGCTTGAATTTTGGAATTTGAACGGGCGATAATTATCGAGTCGGATTCTCTCTCTAATTCGGAAAGCTGAGGGGCTCATCCTCTCCAAACTTAATACTCGAAAAGGGTAGTCATCTGCAGTTGGACCATTTGGTCAAATTCTGTAGTTCCCGGGGCCTCGACATAACGGGAAATTCGGATTAACCCAGAAACTGGAATTTTCAAAACTGCATGGATCATTACACTGAAATATAAATTCAGCTATAGTACGAATTTTCGATTGTTTGGTTAAATGGAGTTCAATTTCTTTGAAAGAAATATATGTAGAAATTAAAAAATTCATTTTTTATTTATTTCATTTAAAAAATTCATTTTAAAACTATATGGATTATTAGATCGAAATATAAATTCAGCGATAGTACGAACTTTCGATTGTTCGGCTAAATGGATTTCGATTTCTTTGAAACAAATATATATAGAAATTAAAAAATTCATTTTTTATTTATTTCATTTAAAAAATTCATTTAAAAACTATATGGATTATTAGATCGAAATATAAATTCAACGATAGTACGAACGTTCGATTTTTCTGCTAAATGGAGTTCGATTTCTTTAACAAAAATATATATACAAATTAAAAAATTCGTTATATGAAATACTCCCATCTTCAATTTTGCAATTTAATTAATTCTCCATAAAATCAACAACGAATCTTCCCTGAAATGCTTACCAGTAATTAAAGCCTGCAGATTTTTAATATCATGCATATTTCGTTCGGAAATAACGAACGACCGCCCACGATACTTTTCATATCTACGCAAGAATTGTCTTTCATTTCATCCCCGTGATATTAAAAGTGTAAATATTAAAGTATCGAGTATCTCCATCGCCGAACCACGCTATATCGATACGATACCGCGTCGGGCTTCCATTCTATCGAACATTGAAATGACTAATCGAATATCGAGATTGAAATCCAGAACGATGACGAAGCACGCGAAGGGTAATAACTCCGTTGCAGCGTAGTAAAAATATTTCTGTCGTATCAATACGGCGTTTCTGATAAATTGCATTTCTGTTGCAGAACTCTTTAGAAATGCTGCAGAGGCTGGCCCTCTGGACATCGTGAAGCTTCGCAAGGGGGACAAGCTCTTGAACATTTCAACTAATTTGCCGGAGAATACCCCGGACGCACCTTATGTTCTTCAGGTAACGATCCAGCTATCGCACACAGCTGTCCCCGCCGTTTCGGTTCGTTCTCGACCCTCCAAATCGTTTACCTTTCTCGTTAAATTATATAATTCAACGTTTTCCGGGCATCCTCCGTGTTTTTCAACCCTTTAGAACTTGTCTTCTTTACGAGACAAGCACGTTTATTGTACCTTGAGCTTCGTAAATCGAGTGTATCTTTTTTAATTTACTTCGAGTCAAGATTGACAATGAATTTATAATTCTTTACAGACGAAAATTGCAGCAACTTTCGTCGTGGAAAGCAAATATAAGGGGAAGATTAAATGATTCGATGTTTATTTTTGTTCGTCAATTATTTTTGAAACAATTTTTTAGAAGAGAAATGTCTACGGAAAAGTAGACATTTCAACCCTTTTTTTCAACCCTTTAGAACTTGTCTTCTTTACGAGACAAGCACGTTTATTGTACCTTGAGCTTCGTAAATCGAGTGTATCTTTTTTAATTTACTTCGAGTCAAGATTGACAATGAATTTATAATTCTTTACAGACGAAAATTGCAGCAACTTTCGTCGTGGAAAGCAAATATAAGGGGAAGATTAAATGATTCGATGTTTATTTTTGTTCGTCAATTATTTTTGAAACAATTTTTTAGAAGAGAAATGTCTACGGAAAAGTAGACATTTCAACCCTTTTTTTCAACCCTTTAGAACTTGTCTTCTTTACGAGACAAGCACGTTTATTGTACCTTGAGCTTCGTAAATCGAGTGTATCTTTTTTAATTTACTTCGAGTCAAGATTGACAATGAATTTATAATTCTTTACAGACGAAAATTGCAGCAACTTTCGTCGTGGAAAGCAAATATAAGGGGAAGATTAAATGATTCGATGTTTATTTTTGTTCGTCAATTATTTTTGAAACAATTTTTTAGAAGAGAAATGTCTACGGAAAAGTAGACATTTCAACCCTTTTTTTCAACCCTTTAGAACTCGTCTTCTTTACGAGACAGCACGTTTATTGCACCTTGAGCTTCGTAAATCGAGTGTATCTTTTTTAATTTACTTCGAGTCAAGATTGACAATGAATTTATAATTCTTTACAGACGAAAATTGCAGCAACTTTCGTCGTGGAAAGCAAATATAAGGGGAAGATTAAATGATTCGATGTTTATTTTTGTTCGTCAATTATTTTTGAAACAATTTTTTAGAAGAGAAATGTCTACGGAAAAGTAGACATTTCAACCCTTTTTTTCAACCCTTTAGAACTTGTCTTCTTTACGAGACAAGCACGTTTATTGTACCTTGAGCTTCGTAAATCGAGTGTATCATTTTTAATTTACTTCGAGTCAAGATTGACAATGAATTTATAATTCTTTACAGACGAAAATTGTTGCAACTTTCGTCGTGGAAAGCAAATATAAGAAAGTATTAAATGGTTCGACGAATATTTTCGTTCATCAATAATTTTTGAAATTCATTTTTTGGAAAAGAAATGTCTACGGAAAATTTATAATTCGAGATTTTACGCCTCCCAGATGGAGAATTCGTTCGGATAAAATCTTTTCAGGATTCGTTGTTTCGTCGAAAAGAGTAGGGCAATTACTACGAGTGCTTTACGATTCGAGAGTCCCATTTTCACGATTCCAGTGCTCTTAACCGGAATTGATTGAGCGAAAATCCACCCCCAATTCACTGTTTCGTCGATGAGTACTTGGCTCGATTCGGAAGAGCGAAACGCTTTGATAGAGTTACTCTTTATAATGTTATCATAAATTTTCTCATACGTTCGTCATAACAAACGTGTCCTTTCGGAGTTAGAAACGCACGAACCCCCAAGCTGTTTTTAATTACATTAAAAGGATTATTTAGATCGTCGCCATTTTGTTCCTATTAATTTCGACTGGACGAACTAAAAACTCTCGCCGTGATTTATTTCGTTAGCGAGTGCTTAACTCGAGCACCGAGGGGACAGTTTACTCCGGAATGATTACGATCTAGGTTCGTTCCTTACTTTTCTAACTCTTAATAGGATAAAACTTCAATTAAACTAAAAACAAAATGAATTCTAGGCTTTTGGAAACATTGCTCTGAATTATTTCTGGGTTTCATGTTCAAAATGAATCATTAAAAATGCTTAAGAGTTCGGGCAAGCATGGTGATTGTGTTAGGTGTTAATGAATATCGTGCAATTAGAGTCTTGGTTTGCATAAAAATAGAAATTCGATTCCAAAGTTTAATTTTAGAAATTGAAGCAAACTGTAACTTTGTTCTGAAGGTAGAAAAAATTAAATGACGACTGCCTTTTAAGGATATATATTTTTTATGCAACTGTGCAGATGCAATATGCACTCGTATTTAATTGTTCAGCGAAGCCATAAATTTTAATACGTAAATCGATTCGTTTCATTATTCTGTACGTAAAAGTACGATTGTTTGACCACTGAAAACACAATACTTTATGAGATACTTGATATTTTAAATTAGGAAGTTACTTTTTATTGATATTACTACACAATATGAAAGTAGGTCGAGGATACTTAACGTTTCTGTTTATACGAGCTGTATCGAGTACTTGATATTACTGAAAATGATTCATTCGATTTCTATCGATTATTTATTATTAATATTGCAGTCGAAACGTCCGCTGTTTCGTCAATACGATACAGATAGTCATGCAAATTAGTGGGAATACAGCTTTTACGACGCTGTACGCGCGGGATATATTGCACACTTAAATTTAGGAATGTTAAAACTAGCTGCGCTATAAAAAGTGACAAGATGTCGGGTAGTCTCGCATTTTTAGCCAGTAGTATATTTTCCCCCGATTACCGAGAGTACAGTTCATTCTGTACTTTTACGATACTTCTGACATACACTCCTTGACACTTGATTACTCTCAGCTGACAGAGACACGATATTTTCGTAAGAACACATAGCAGCACCAAGTTATTTATCCGACACCAAATATTTATCATCCCTTCGTATTTCTTCATATTCCAAGTCGCATTTGTTTGAAGCACAGACGACTTCAATTTACTGAAATATCGAAGAAATTATGTAACACTCGATTTGCAATTAAAAATAATCGATTGAAATTTAATTCGAATTTTAAATCAGAATAACTATCACGTAATTCATATTGACGCTTTGTATTTTTCTAAATTGTGATTCCTCAAAGTAAATGAAAAGATCAAAATGTGTCTAATTAATGATAATAGCACCACTTCGTTTAATTCTTTAAGTTCATTTTGCGATTTCTTATGAATGGAAATACAAATAAAAAATTACAGGTCGTAGGAATTTTCAAGAAATTTTGTGTACACCCTGTCGATTTTTCTTTAAAATTTGTTTTTCATGTTTAATAAACACAACCCTGGGTAATGTAGTAACATAGTTTATTAATAAAAAATAAAATGTACGCGTTGTTTGCATTTTGAAACAGTAAAATTCTCCAAATCTGGCCTCATATCATATTTTCGGAAAAGAATTTTTTTCTGGAAAGTGCATAGGAATTCGAGGGTATATCTATTCACAAAAAATGGTTGTAATTGACCCCCGCAGTTGAAATAATTTTTTTAAAACGATTTAAAATGTTTTAACTTTGTCGAAAAATTTCACACATACTCGAATTTTTTTCTCGAAAATGGGAGGGATTTCGAGGGTATATCTATTCACAAAAAATGGTTGTAATTGACCCCCGCAGTTGGAAATAATTTTTTTAAAACGATTTGAAATGTTTTAATTTTGCCGAAAAATTTCACACACACTCGAATTTTTTTCTCGAATGTGGGTAGGATTTTGAGGGTATGTCTATTCACCAAAAATGGTTGTAATTGGCCCTCGCAGTTGGAAATAATTTTTTTAAAACGATTTGAAATGTTTTAATTTTGCCGAAAAATTTCACACATACTCGAATTTTTTTCTCGAAAATGGGTACAATTTCGAGGGTATGTCTATTCACCAAAAATAATTGTAATTGAGCCCTGCAACTGAAAATAATTTTTCCAGAACGATTTGAAACTTTTCAATTTTCAGGGTAACAGACAGTTATGATCAGACATTATATTTTCAGTAATGAATTTTTTTCTCGAAAATGCGTAGTAATTCGGGGGTATGTCTATTCACCAAAAATGATTGTAATTCACCCCCACAGCTAGAAATAATTTTTTCAGAATGAATTGCTATTTTTTAATTTCGTCGAGAAATATCTGCACCTATTCCCTGTCGATTTTTCTTAAAAATTGGTTTCTGACTTTTAATAAACACAACCATGGGTAATATAATAATACAGTTTATTAATAAAAAATAAAATATAAAAAATTCCTGCGCTTTATTCGTCAACTGTTTAGTATCGATATCGGTGCTAGATGCATGCACTGTGACTTCTTTATTTGTGTGAAACTTAATCCGTAATATTTACCGAAGAATAGTCAGCATTTAAGGATTGAGACAACCCTCTACAATGTTCTCATTTCATTAATTCTATTAATAGAAATATGATTATGCATAGAGATCCGCAGTCTAGTCATAGTAATCAGATGAAACGCGATCTCCTCGAGGTTGAATAATATGTGTGTTTATGGGACGCGGGTAATCAAATGTCAGGGATTGTAGATCTCGCGAAGATTCGAGCGTGGCGGTAAACGTGTCTCCGCTTTTCAAGATCGTCGGAGCGCATCCGGCCTCGTCGAGGGTGACCCAGGCGGAAGTGCTGTGGGCTCTCGAGAGACGCGTGACGGCCTTGGAACGGCAACTTCGGGAGCAGCAAGAAGCTCTGTACGCGTCACCATCCTTCGCTCTTCGTGAACTCAAGCGGCAGGTCGATAGTTTCAAGAACAAGTTGGAACAGAACGACCAGCTGAATTGGCTGAGTAAGTTTTGCACAAAGTATCCCTATTTCCGGCGCGAGAAAACATTTCGGTGACGTGTGGTCCTCGTGAAATCGATAAATCGAAAGCGCGAGATCTTCGATACGATTCCGTTCCTTTGTCTATCCGTAGAATTCCGACGAAATTCGGTCGTTCGGCGACGATCGCGCTCGGAAATTTGACGATCGAAGTTAAAAATCGCGAAACGAAAGCCAATTGCTTTTACAATTTAGCTGATTGCTGTTTTTGGTAAACATGGCTCGATGGTCAAAGAACCATAACGGAATACGAGCCGATAGTCCTTTCCGTCCTTTCATCGCTTGTTTCTTTCGCTTTTGTCGTGTCGCGCGACGCGCAACGAGCTTTTCAAACATTTTTCAGCCGAAAAACGAGAAGTTTCGCTCTAACGAAACTATTCTCGTTTGGGGGGCTATTCGTCGTTTCGATGCCGATCGAATATCGAAATTAGAGCGCCGGGGCTCGATTTAGAGACGTGCGCGACCCGCCTCGACGTCGAGAACACTTCCGGTGTTCGAGTTTTTCCCCCCCTCGAAACCCGTGTTTTTCCCCAGCGCGTTTCATTTTTCGCCCGTTCTTTTTTTTCGCGATCGCTGGGGGTTTTTGTACCGTCGCTCTCGATTCGCCTGTGTTTCGAAAAATTCCTGGCCTCCCCGAAACGATTCGAAAAATCATCTCGACGCTAACGATCCGATAGGGACGATGGATATACGCGCGGATAAACAGCGGACTGGCTGAATACGCCTACCGCTGAATAAATATTTGCCCATGCAAGGAACCGTCCTATCTATTCCTATCTCGGTTCCTAGCCAAACGCGTATACAGGGTGATACAGTCGCTACGTCCATTGCGAAGGGGCTTCGCTATTTTAAAAAATGGAAAGAAGTTTCGACTTAAAATCAAAGTTTGGGATCATAGAGCTTCTTCTCGAACATTATTTATACATTAAATTTCGATTTATTAGGTAGACATTTAAATGTGTAGAAAATATTAGTCATAGTTTCTTTAAAAAATTAATTTCATTAGGTTAAAGAGTTCTATAAATTAGAAGAAAAAAAATATGAAATGGCGTTTGAAATTATTGAAACTGTGTGTATCATCCCCAGTGTTGTTACACTACACCCCCAAGGGGACTTCGCTATTTTAAAAAATGGAAAGAAGTTTCAACTTAAAATCAAAATTTGGGATCATAGAGCTTCTTCTGGAACATTATTTATACATTAAATTTCGATTTATCAGGTAGACATTCAAATGTGTAAAAAATATTAATCATAATTTCTTTAAAAAATTAATAAGTTAAAGAGTTCTATAAATTAGAAAAAAAAAAAATAAAAATATGAAATGACGTTTGAAATTAATGAAACTGCGTGTATCATCCCCAGTGTTGTTAGCCTACACCCCCCAGGGGGGGGCAATTTTTAATTTTGGGGGTATTTAAAAAATTGTATTGCATTTATTCTTTTTCAGAATCTAGTTACAGAGGAATTAAAATCTTTGAGGCGTTGAAGTCCCTCCAAAAAAGATTGGGGAGCACTGAGTTACACCCTCGAATATTTTTTCCACGTTATCTAATATTACAAATCGTTTGTTTTTGTATTCTGAAAAGAAAATTTTTATTTTCCCCCCAAGCACAATATTTCGTAAATCTTGGGCGAATCCACCGTTCAACTTGTTTCCAACGTTTGAAATAGCGAAATCGAGGCTAGTGGAGTTCTTAAATCACCCTGTATAGATAAAAGGCTTATCGAGCGAACTTCACCTCGAGATTTTTCTTCTCATGCTTGTCTGCGTCTCCCTCCGCCAGACAGTCCAATTTTTCCACTTTTCAATCTGATGAGCTTTATTCCGAGTTTAAAACTTTTCGATGAACAGCATTTAGAAGTTTCCGGGTTATTAATTTGCTTTTGGTCGCTGCAGCGAGCATTCGTTTCCGTTTTTCAATGCCACCGACCTGTTCGACTTTCTACTTGGCTCTGGTCGGCGATATCTTTCTCGTTTCGCTGAAACGCAGAACTAGACGGAAGAACTGCGATTATAGTAGAACCTCCATTATGTGACTACGCTGCTCTCGTGTTGTCAGAAAACAGCATGTCGTTATACATTATCCCTTCTTCTATACAAAACCTGATTTCGATCGTATTAGAATGTCAAAAATATCAGATATCTTTGAAATTTTTCGATTCGTCGGAACTTCAAAGATCTCGATTTTTCCTTTGCAGGCTGAAAAATAGAATGCTCGTACGTAACAAGCAACTTAAAAAATTTTAGTTCCATCGAAAATGTCCGCATGTCGCCTTAAACTTGTCACGTTACCAATGACAATTATTTTGGAAACAAAAAGCTTCGCGTATACGCGTTACTTTGATTCTGATCGTCGACATTCGCGTCTCTCCTTGTAAACACGGAGAATATCAGAAACCCAATCGTGATGTTATCGGAATATTCTCTGATCTGAATCGTCCTGTTTCTCTATTAGTTCGGATAATGGAGGTTCCACTGTAGCTGCGTGGACGAACAGCGTTAGAGCACGAAATCGCCTTAAGATAATGTTCCGATCGATCAAGAACGCGGTTTCGACCAACGGGACGAGTCGAAGTTTCCGGTTCAATCTTCAGACCGCTGTCACTTTCAGGTTTCTACAAACATCTTTCGGAGCCCATCTTCGCGGATTCTTGCTGCAAATTGCAGTATCGTCGGATGAGCGACAGCATGAAGCGGAAGGTGCGGGAAAAGTTCCTCAATATCTGGTGAGTCGATAGAAATTGCTCACATTTACCCGCGCCGGAGTTTCTCTGCTTTCCCCGCGGCTTACGCTCGACGTATCTCATCTTGTAAATGACAAAACAAACGAGCGAATCGAAAAGCTGCGAAGTTCGCGGAATGTGAATGTTTGCTTTACGAAATTTAAATGCGATCGACCACGTTCGAAATTAATAATTCCTGCACCGCCGGATGTTTGTGCTCGTATGATGTGCAAAACAGTATATTAATACGCAAAATACACACGAGACTGTGTACGAAAAATATGTTAAATTCACGAGGAACACGTGCAATGTATATTTACCCTGCAGAATATTATCCAAATTATTTATGCTCTGTCGTGTTTCGATCGCAGTGTTTGGAGTAATTATGGTTCGATCAAATTGATTCGTATTTAGAAATAATCTACGTACTGTATGATACAACAAGGTCCGAAGAGTACTATTTTAAAGTCAATAATTTTAAGATAATATTTCTGTAACAGTTTAATGAAAAATCGATTGGTCGAACGGTAATCGAATTGTTTAAAATCGTACACGTTTAAAGACTCGTAATTATGGTTCGATTAAATTGATTCGTATTAAGAAATAATCTACGTACTGTGTGATACAACAGGTCTGAAAAGTATTATTTTAAAGTCAATAATTTTAAGGTAATATTTCTGTAACAGTTTAATGAAAAATCGATTGGTCGAACGGTAAATTGTTCAAAATCGTACACGTTTAAAGACTCGTTTGCCACTTGGCTTAACTGGCATCTTTCCCAATCCGTCATTACTCATCGGGGCTCGAATCGCGGAAACACTCGGTGCATTGAATCATGTAGTTACGCGTACGTATCGTAATGGTATATAAATTAACGAGGATACGATCGTTTTAATGGTTAGCTTCTCTTAAATAACGCCGATCGTTTATTCGCACAAAGACTTCTCGACGCGATTTCTCAAAAGATATTTATTCCGATGTAGATTTCTTTGACGGATTATTTCATTACGGAGACGATGCTATCTCTGGTCCCCGTTTAAATATCCAATCGCCTCAACGACGATGATTAATTTCTCTCTCTAGGAGACGTTTACCGCGATTCTCTCGGTTGGTTTGCGCAACATCTTCTACCGTTGTACTCGCGTCGTGACCATCCACCGCGAAGATCAATCGCGTAGACATCAAAGCAAAGGGTAAAAACGTCGAAAAAATTTAAATGACCTCTTTGCACTACTGGACAACAGGAGAAATTAATATTAAACGCCTAAGGTCTTCTCAAAAGATAAAATTTACCCACTAAAATCATTTTTTTTAGGAGCAAATTATTTTGTCAGAAGCAAACCAAAACTCTTGCCACCGTTGATATTAAATTGTGCAAAAACTATGTTCGATATTATAGATTCCCCCCAATATTTAATATATTCCTCTTGAAATGGTAGCAAATCGATTATTAAAGGTATCGAGCAGCGAAGAGTTAACGAAAGTGACTTTGACGCGATAAAAACGAGATTTAGAGTTGTCTCATTTTCCATTAATTACGATGCGACTCGGTGCATTAAGTTGAGACCGAAGATTATCCTGACGCATTCGATTCGACTATCAATGAGCTACCGAGAACCTGTTAACTCGAACAGGCCACCTTGTTACGTTGCCTCGAGATGATTAAGTGACGCCGATAATCCGATCTATTAAGCTCCTGCTACCAGCTACAATGTAGCACCGACGACGATGGTCAGTTAATTACGAGATTCTTATCGGAACAGATTAGGACCAGTTCTAAGTCGCGTATTTGAAGTCAATTGAACGGCGTCTTCGATCCTTTACATTTGACAGGTAATTAAAATTCAAAAATTATGATACCTGCGCGAGGAAGCGATCCACTGAAATATTTGTAAATATATTACGGTGGATCCTTAATTATTCATATAATCGAATAACTCAGTTTCCTCGTACCAGGAAAGCATTTATTTTGAAACTAAACCATGACATGATCCTTTTAAATTTTACCATGGCTGAAACAAAATTGAATCGAACGTGAATTGCTCAGATGTTTAAATTTATAATAAATTAGAATGCACACCAAGCACTAAACAATGACATAAACAACATAAGAAAAATACTGACATTTTGCAGAATAACGAATATAACAAAGAAAATATAAAGGAAAGAAAAAATAACAAAAAAACAAAGTAAGAAAAATAATACCAGGATTATATAATACATGTAAACAACAACCAAAGACCATGCAGTCGGTGCTGTTACAAAATTCCAAAAAAAGAAATTAGAATGCACAGTTTAAGCCAACAGACTCCAAAGGGAGAATAAGATGAGATGAAATCAATATTAACGGAATGTACAGCGTTTAATAAATTAATCGAGATTGAATCTAGGGGGTGGGAGAATGGCTTTTATTGAAATATATCTCCCGTTTCCTGTGTAACGTTTTATGAAAAAGTTTGTCAAATGCGAATTGTATGTTTTCGAGCGAGCTTTGATACAAATGTTCACTGCACGGTGGGCGTTTTTATGACGCTTTTGATATTTATATTAAAGGTCGACAAATTGAACGTAAATGATTAAACGCGACACGCTTTTATCCACCGTGTTTCCAAGCATTCGAAAGCAAAAAATACGGCGATTTATTTTTAATCGATACACGTACACGTGAATTTCCCCGCGATGACGTAAATATAATTTCCATACTTTTCTGCTTAAAATTTTTCCAGCCGTGGCGATGAACAGCAAACGATAAGCGACACGAGTTTCCTTTGATCGTAAAGAGTTAATCGTATTGTGATTAGAAGTTACAATGTTATTGTTTAACCATGTTTTATTGTAACGTGAAACAATAACTCGATGCACAATGGAGGCGTTTAAAATGTTTTGGTGATTCTACTACGTCATCCACTGTACATTCGTATTGATTAACGATAATCCGCTATAAACTATTGTTATCAGAATTCTGGTTCAGTTTTAGCAAAAATTATTGCTCCGGTGAATTCACCGCTGCTATAAAATTTTATGTTTCATTGTTACTTCTCCATCGGTGAAAATGTGAAATATATTCGTCTGATCGAATAATAAATCTGGCTGAAATAATAATTCACGCGATTCAGAATCGATAATACAAAGGCTGATTCGTGTGTTAAATATGGATTAAAAGACAATATATATCTGATAGATTTATTGTTTGTTCATGAAAGTCCCTTTCCACTGTCTTCAATTTTTCATATTTCTCATTGTTTCATTCAATTTTTCCCAGATTGTTTACAGATTGTAATTAAATAGTCGTTTATAAATGTAATAGAACGATAGAGAGTTGTTAATTCATCGAGCCATTGAAGAAAAGATACATCGTTTGAGATTACTGCAGCTATTTCATATTTCTCAGTAGTATAGCTCAACGTATGGTCAGACTCAGACTCTTAGTTCCTACTACGCTGCACAAAAGTCTAGATATATTATTAATAATTAAAATACTCGTCAATTTGTCACTTTTAATATAAAAATATGACGGTACACAAAGTTACAGCGTCGAGAAATTATGAAACAGGGTAAAAATATTCCCACGCGTATTTGAATTTTATTATTTGCAGTCGAAAGCAAACTAATCGCTCTTACTTGCGGAAAATTATTCAATAAATGTAGATTGGGGTAGATCAAATAGTGGACCATCGAAATTCTATTCATTCGCAAAATGCAAATGTAAGTGTGTTCAAACATTTGTGCGGCAGTTTGCACGTCGGATATGAAATTCATTAAATTTTACCGTGGCGCACGAAATGGTATATCAAATTATCAAAATATTATAAATAATCTTATTTCCACGATATTTACTCTGACTTTACAAAAACAGAAATTCGTTATTTTGATGTCGTTCTCTACGGGTTGCGTTGCGTTTTAATAAATTCCTTTAATTCATTTTTATATTATTGAAATTATATTCCAGAAATATTTGGGTCACAGGATTACTGAAATATTTTATATTCGATTGTTTCTACGATTAGGCTTATCTTTGGTTCAAACATGTTATTTTAATTAATTTCTATATTATTTAAATTATATTCCAGAAATATTTGGGTCACACATTACTGAAATATTTTATATTTGATTGTTTCTACGATTAGGCTTATCTTTGGTTCAAACACAGATATGCTATTCATTATTTTAATTAATTTCTATATTATTTAATTTATATTCCAGAAATATTTGGGTCACACATTGATGAAATATTTTATATTTGATTATTTCCACGATTAGGCTTATCTTTGGTTCAAACACGGATGTGTTATTCGTTTTCACGCAGAATTTCAAAATTTCTAGACTAGAATTTTGGCGATGTCCGTATGTGTCGGATCCTTTCTCGAGATGATGCTGGTGGGTATGAATTATTCAAACCATTTGCGGCGTACGCGACGCGTCCTGTGTTTGGAAGGAAACAATGTCATGCAACTACCGTTTTCAACGAGCTGACCGACACTTGGAGCGCAATGTGGATCGACGGTATCGCGTTGTCGAGCAGAGAAGCACGTTTCGAGCGAAACCGATGAATCGTGAACGCGATGGCTGACCCGTGTCTGTTTCGAAAAATATTAACCGTTGCGCTTTCAGAGATTTATATGCGAAATGTCCCGCGTCGAGTACGAGTTATTTTTCGTTAAAAAATAAATCGAATAACGTGGAATAATATTTTTTTCCCCATACGCTGCACCGTTTGCAAAAATATTAAAACTGTTCCTTTTCAAATTAAGAAAATACTATTCCATTCTATAGAAATTTCGATATTAAATTTTATTTTTAGCATACGTTGAGATAAATTAAAAGTATGAACGAATTTGAGGAGATACTTAGCAAGAATTATGCGTGTAATAATCTGCGGATGAAGTTCGTTCAAGGACGTTCAAGGTTAACTACGATGAAAAATAAGTTATTTCACTTAGTGTAGTGAGAAGTTAAGACCGGTCAAACTTGCCAGTCATGTTACTTATTTACATACGGGCTGT